GACTTCTTCACAACTGCTTACAATAGACAATATGAGGAATTGTGAGTGGGAATTTCTTGCATTATACATCTTACATTATTGTTTATTTTATTCAGCGGTCTGACATATAAAAAGTAAATATCATTTCACACATATGGTCATATATTCAATTGTACATAATGTTATATGCCAATTCATTGTATGACAGTATGTTTTTTATGTAGTTTTCGCATTAAGGATAAAGATGCATTTTTCACCGATAACCAAAGGTCTATCATAGTGTTTGAGATCTTGAAACGAGCAGAATACAATCACGAAAAGCAAAAGTATGGTAAGTAGTCTTCACAGTTAAAAATCTTAAGCTCTCTCTCTCTCTCTCTCTTTCTCTCTCTTGCTCTGTCTCTCTCTCCTGCTATTTTCCACCCTCTCCCTATCCCTCTCCCTATCCCTCTCTGTCTTCCCCCTCTCTCTCCTTCTCTCTCTCTCCCTCTCTCTCTCTCTCACTCTCTCATTCACACGTATGCATATACGCATTATTCTTATGCACTGAATCAAATAATTGATCAATCAATCCAGTCTCATATGTAATATATATGCACGAGATGCATGAGTGAAAGCTTATACAATATGAACAGTGTTGCTTTCCAGGTATAAATAAACTCCTTAGCAATGGAAGCTATTTGGCTGCTTACCCATTACACAAGGTAAACTAATCTTCGATCTATGTGTCAGCATATCCACTATTGGCATTTATATCTCTCATACACTTGATACTATCATGCAGCAGCATTGATTGTTAGTCAGTTAATTAAGCCACGTGAAACTCACAATTTATTATGTGATGTATGAAATTATTAGGACCTAAAACCTGTAATAATTTGTGGAAGATTGGTAGATTGTTGCACCATATAAGCATTTGGCATCAAGATGTCACATTGGTTATAGTGGTATACAAATAAAATGATGTTCCAGTTAGCACGCGTATTGTTTTATAAGAGTACAGTGCGGGAGGTTGTAGAAAATAGTAACCGTGATTTCAGTAACAGGAAATTGTTACTAGTAACAGTATACAGCAACCACATTGAGCTATCTTGGTTGGTGCACAGGTGTGCACTACTAGCATATGTTAGTTATGAAGTATACCTGCTTATTATACTGGAGTATGTAAATGGACAGCCGAGTTTAATAAATTGTATAATAATTTATTGTAGTGTTTTATAACAAGATGCCTTTGGGTGCATGGATGGATGAATATTATTGATGGGTCTCATGTAATTTTCGCAGGGTGATTACAAAGATGAGGAGAACCCAGACAGGTTAGACACAGACAGAAAGGTGAGTAATATAATTCTTTAATGAATATCGATATACTTTGTTTATATAGAGTACTGAATTTCTGCATTCAGTTATTGACAGTTACATAATTATATTAAATTGGTTACATATAAAGTCATCATAATGACTTTTAAAATTGGCACACTCCCACAATGAATGCTGAGATATATGCTTACTGTGGGCATTACACATCTGTACTGTTTATAAAGAATCACGAATTTGCTTTAACCTACAGAGCTTACGTGTTGTTAGAAGCCAATCACAATTAACATTAGTATCCTAAGGAACCCCCATATGGTGGTGGGAAGTGTGTAAACTTCTGCTGTATGCCTTTAAAAATGCAACAATATGTTGTCATATCTTCTCAAGGAGTGATAATCTGTATTTTTAGCTCATCTGACATAGTCAGATGCAGCTAGTAGAATCGCATGAGCGTGCGTGCGTGCGTGCGTGCGTGCGTG